GACATGAGTCAAAACTAGGTCAACCCCGTAAAGAGATAAAATAAAATTAAGAACGTCAATACAAAACTATATCAAATATCTATTTATTTTATTTTTTATATTATTTGATTGTCAATTAAATTATATCACATACATTCTAATAATTAGATTTTTATAATCCTATTTAAATTAGGTGAAACCGAAAACAGAGGACCAAAACTCCTCCCTCTAGCCGAGATACCTCTGAATAGGCTTACGTGTTCTGGTTGAACACCTTCTAGTTCCCACTTCCTCAAGTTCATTATGCTCATTCACACTTTCTTGAATGCTTCTTTGTTGACACTCATCATTTTTTTGTCGCTTTCAGGATTAGTATCAAAAGCTTCTTCTTCAGGCATCAAGTCTACTGTAGTCTCGTTAGCTCTTCTTCAGCCCAACCGCTACTGTGGAGAATCAAGTGTCGTGTAGTATCATCGAAGACTCTTGTAACGATAGTTTTGCAACTTGTAAACCTACGACGGATACGAATATTGGGTTTGAACATGTTTATAAACCATATGTAGACAGTGGCATGTTTGGCCTTGAGTCTTTCTTCTGGCGACTTCACATGCTTCTTGGTTTCTACCACCGCTTTCACAATGTGCAAGTAAGACAGATCTTTCTGTAGCAATGAAGCAAAAATTGTATGTTAATTAATTCATATTACTAAGTGGAGACATACTCATTGATATGCAAACTTACGTAAATAGTCGTATTAGTTATATTAGCAAAGGCAAGTTCCAAATAGAGACAGATCCAACTACGGTATCATTGAAAGCATCTTTTGAAGACGGCCACTCATGCAAGCTACTGTGGTATAAATGCTAAGTATATTGGTTTCTTGTTGATGATATCTTGGTGTCCACTATGCAAAAAGTGTTGTTGATGATTATATCACATATTTCCTAAAGATTAGATTTCTATAGTCCTGTTTAAATTAGGTAAAATAAAATACATAAATCTTTTCACATATGGTTAAATATAATTGAATATTTTACACTTGTA